CCGTTCGCGCCCCCTCAGGGGCCAGCCCCGAGCCTGAGAAGCCTCTCCGTGGGCCAGGCGCAGGGCCCAGCTCGGAACAGCCCCATTTTCTCGGTGGGGTATCGCTCTCCACAAAGACAGGCGTCTATTCCCGACCCTCGAGGTCAGGCAAAGGCCACGAGTCTTTAGAGTTTGGATCGATGCTAAAAGCTGCTGCGCTCCCCTGCAGGCCCCAGCCTCTCCTCTCGCAGTCCCCAACCTCTTCTGACGCAGACTTTAGCTGCTCCACTTCGTCGTCGGCTCCCGGGATCCTCTCCCTCTCGCGGCCTGTCCCCCGCCTCCACTGCATCCCCATTTTCCCTCTCTTCTTTCCCTCCCGCCTGCAGGACTTCCTCCTTCCCCAAGTTCCTTCTGCATTCCAATCCCTCTTTCCCCAGCCTGCTTTTCTTCTCACACTGCCCTCCCATCTCACACTGTCTTCCCACCCTCTCTCTTCCCGGCCTCCCCCCCGCTTCCAGTGGACCCCTCCCTTTGCAACTCTACCCCAATCTGTTTCTCTTCAGCCCAGCCTCGCCCCATCACGAGTTTCCTTTATCTGTCCCCAGATTCCCCGTGCCTGTCTTCCCCGCCCACTGCCTCGCTCATTCCTGGGCCTGCACGCTGAAAGGCGAGGCAGCGTAGCGCTGCTTCTGTCTGCCACAGTTCTCTGCCCTGGACTGCTATGGACAGAAGACTTTCCCTGAGTATTGATTGGGTGCTCAGGCACCAACCATATAGTACCCTCCTTTAATCGTGCCAACAGCTTTGTGAGGTTGGCGTTGACTATTTTCACCTTCACGGATGGGAAAAAAAAAAAAAAAAAGACTCAGTGGAGACAAGTGACTTTTCCAAGGCCACTCTGCCAAGAGATTATGCAGCAAGGGACAGAATCCAGGCTCCCACCCCAAGCCCAAGGTTCTTCCCACTACAGCATAGACAGTCATTCCTGGCCCAACTTCTCTATTTCAGTTCTTGCTTTTTTCTTCTCTTTATGGTTCCACTTGATCTCAGGTGGCTGCTTCCTCCGCCATGCTACTTTCCGTGTGTGCTCCCAGTCTCTCTAATCTCCTCCCTCTCACTTTCTTCCCCCTTCTTCCTTTTGCTTTTTCATCACCTCTTCTGTCCTGCAGGGAGCACTCACATGACAGCCTGCAGGGGGAGGGAGTTTTGCTGCTCCCCTCATTCCTTTCACTTCCTTAAGGTCTGGGATATGCCCTCCACCACGGACACTGGCCTCCTCCAGGTAATGACAAGCACCCACAGAGAACTTGTGTGTCAGTCATGGTTTGAAGCCCTTCACCAATATTATTTTACTTAATCTTCACAGCAATCCTGAAATAAGTGCTGTATTATGCCTATTTTACAGATAGGGAAACTGAGGTCCAGGGTCACACTACTCCAGAGTCTGGCCTCTTAACCACTGGGCTATTGAGCTTGGCTGCTCTCCCTTGGGTCTCCATGGATGCCCCTTCTGGCCCTATCCCAATTCTACTTATGTCCCCTAGTTTTGGTTTCAAGGTTGTCAAGTTCCGAGACCTTATACTCGAAGGTGCTTTAACTGTAACATTTTCTTCCCTCCTCTCTCTGTGCTTTAAAATGGCTTATTAATATTTACCATAAAAATAAAATAAAAGGAGATGAAACTGAAAGAAAAAATTATTTCTCAGATTCTTGCCACTACAACAAATCCAAATGTTTTTACCTTTTGGGTTCCCTTCCACTCCTTCTTTACTTGTTATGCACATATCCTTTTCATATTATTGCAATCCAGGGATAGATATTACGATGGATTCCGCCCTTGTCACTTAACGTTTTACAACCAAGTCCACTGCCTTCAATGTCTCTCCCCCATGCCTATCAATACAGGTCTTCACTGCCCCTCTGCTGGCCTGCAAATGCCATCCCTGCAAAACCACAGACTCAAAACTCCTCATTTCTCATTTGCAGAAGCAACATTTCCCCTCTGCCTACTTGTCGCCCATGGGATGCACGTGTTCTTTTTTGGCCTGCCCTGTGTCTTGCTCTGTATGTCTGCCTCTCAAGTGTCATCCAGGAAAGCACCCTCCTTGTGATCTATTTCCATCCCTTCCCTCAGGAAACAAAACTTGTGGTTTGTGTTATCAATATTTTAATTTCTATCAGTATGGTGCCTAGTTAACAATGTTTCATAGTTTTATAGTTTCAGACCCTCCATCCAATAAATACTGTATGTTTCCTGCCTGCGGAGGCAACTCTATGTTCTCTCTTCATTTTGCCCACAGCAATTATTATCTGCTACAAGTTATCAGTAAACAGGAAACAAAGTAATGAGCCTATTACTGTGGTTTAGGACCTCTCAGCATGCTAGATGGAGCCACATGGAACAGTAAATGACACTGAAACAGGGACCACAAAGGTCGTCGTCTGTTGTCCTTCAGGATTCCCCTGGGGCTGACATTACCTTCCGTCATTGCTATCAGCCTCAGGTCTTTGCAAGAAAAGTTCTGGCTGGTCTTTGCCTGAAAGGGCTGCAGCGATCATTTTACAGGTGAGGAAAGAGAGGTGCAGACAAACTCAGTGGAGAGAGCCCGAGGTTTTAAACTAGTCAGAAATGTAACTAGGATTAGGAGCCAAAACATTCTGACCCCTAAACGAATGCTTCTCCTGTATTATAAAAATATATTTCAAATATCATGACAATGACCCACAGTAGCATACAGTGTCCGATCTCTTCCTCTGCAGTGGGTATATTTCAGATAGTTTCAGATAGGAATCCATCCCAAAGTTGAGACCACACCAAAGCCTTTGCACTCATGTTCTCTCTCTCTTTCTCTCGATCTCTCTTTCTCTCTCTCTCTCTCTGTCTGTCTCTGTGTGTGTGTGTGCGTGTGTGTGTGCGTGTGTGAAAAATAAAAATACAAAGAGCAAACTACAAGTCCAAATCTGCTTTTAAGATCTTCAAGGAACATTTTGAGTCTTTGAACCAGTGCTACAGAATTTAAATTTTTGGTCTAATCTTAGATTTTCTAGTAATTTCTTAAACAACTTTATCTGTGAAAAATGTTAGAAAGGTGAAAGTTTCTTGAGAAGGTCTGAGATGGGCACCGTGGCATTCTGGTAGTGGTTAGGTTTTTCTACACCAACAGATAGAAAGACATACAACTGTGCAGTATGGTATCTCCTGCCCCCCTGTGGACGCCGAGGGAGTTACCTGTGGAGAACCAAAACAGTACTGGACTGGAGCATGCTTACAGGCACTTTCAAAGTTGAGCAAGGCATAGTGGCATCTATTAACATAATTTTAAGAAATCATAGAGTCATGCCTAAGGTATGTGTATCATTTGGCAACAAAACATCCATAAATGAGAGATCTGTCCACCCAGAGATACAGGACCAAAAGCAAATAGAATTGTCCTCTTATCTCAAATTGGTGCTGGTGTTGTTTTAAAATTGTTATTTTACATTAATCTAGGGAGAGAAGATTCTCTTAAATAAATAGAAGAGTTTATATCTTTTATTATTTTATTTTTCATTCAGGTGTCACTCCAAAGACAACTTTTATAACAATGACTGAGGATGTTGGACTTTGGTATGGACTCTACCTAGCTGTGAAGTAACCATGCTTTAAGGGGCTCTGGAAATATACTCTAGAAAGATGTCTTAGCACCTAAAATTTTGCAAAAATTTCACTTCTTTAAGGTACTTTCTTTATAAGACCCCAGTTGAAATACAGACATTATCTAGTAGGATCCCTCCAGGTTATTTTACTACCACTATTAGCTTCTTCCAAATAAACTAGTAATCCGATAAGACTGGCTAGCTGACACCTATTTGGTCTAAAAGTAATGAGACTTAAGACTGGTGGATTTTGATTATAAGAGGACAGAAAGGGCTGGGCTTTAAATTCTGTTCCTTTGCACTCCTAGAGCCTCTGGCAAGAAGAATAAGGAAGAAACCAATCAGGTGCACCTCAAGTTACTCACACTTGCTTCAGCCTGAGCAGTCCTGCTTTTGTCTGTTTTTTGTCAGCTTCATCAAATTTCATCTGCAAAAAGTCCCTCAGAAAAAGAAAAGAAAATGAAAGCTGTTGGCTTAGAGTACTGGGCAGTGTTCCTCAAAGGATGGTCAGGGTGAAAAATGTGTGAAGTCTTGAGCAGCAGGAGGAAACGTAAAGACTGTTTGCTTCAGGAAAGTGGAAGAAGAGGGGAAAAAAAACACAAAAAACAAAAAACCCTGTGACGGATAAACATAAAATACAGCTTTCCCTTTATCTCTTAGACTGGGAGGTACCAGCCCTATTAATACCCTCTGTTTTCCCTAATTTATATTGAGACCGACTATTCCATTTCTTTTGTTTGTTTCCTTGGCAGAATAATTTACAGAGAAGTTAAATGAAATGAGTTGTGCCAGATGACAGAATACTCTGGGTCTCGGCTTCCCCCCGCCACCAGCTGAATGGGGTCTCAGTGAAAGGCAAATCAGAGATTCAGTCGGTCCCATGCATGCCACCAGAATGACAGCACTGAGATGGGTAGGAATTGGCATTTTAGTTCTGGATATTGAAAGAAGCACCAACACTCACTGGGGGAATCAAAGCAACCCAGTCACTGCCTTTCTTTGGTTCCACTGCAGGGGACATAGATGTCCAACCATCTTGTAGTTCGCCAACACCAGTGGTTCTCAAAGTGTGGCTCCTCGAGCAGCTGTATCAGCATCACCTGAAAACTTGTTAGAAATACCAATTCTTGCCGGGGGCGGTGGCTCGTGCCTGTAATCCCAGCACTCTGGGAGGCTGAGGTGGGCAGATCACGAGGTCAGGAGATCGAGACCATCCTGGCTAACACGGTGAAACCCTGTCTCTACTAAAAATACAAAAAATTAGCCGGGCGTGGTGGCGGGCGCCTGTAGTTCCAGCTACTCGGAAGGCAGAGAATGGCCTGAACCCGGGAGGCGGGGCTTGCAGTGAGCCGAGATCGTGCCACTGCACTCCAGCCTGGGCGACAGAGTAAGGCTCTGTCTCAAAAATAAAAAAATAAAAAAATAAATTAAAAAAAAAAAAAGAAATGCCAATTCTTAGGCCTTACCCGGATTCAGAGTCAGAAACTCTGGTGCTAAGGCCCAGCAATCTGTGTTTTGACAAGCCGTCAGGGAATTCTGATGAACACCAAGATTTGAGCACCTCTGGCCTACACCATGAAACAGGGGCGAGTTACCTGCCAAGAACTTCAAGAAATGCTTTGATTTTAAAGGGAAATGCATACTATGCCATTTTATTTTCAAATTAATGATTCTCATTCCGAATGAGCAAATAATTTTCATTCTCCATGTGAACCAGGT